CAAAATGACACTTTGTTAAGCAGAACCGGGACTGGGAGAAATCCAAATGTTATTTAATATTGAAAATTAAAGGCTGTGAGAGTTTGGGTTGGTCAGTCTGGAGAAGAAAAGGTACCAAAGTGGCTTTCCAATGCTAAAAGGGGACTTGTACAAAGAGTAGGACAAACTTCTTGTAGGGCCTGTTATGAAATGACAAGAGGCAACAGTTCTAAAATTAAAAGAGGACAGACCAAGATAAGAAATAAATACTTTACAATAAGGATGGTGAAACACTGGCACAGATTGTCCAGATAAGTGGTGGTTGCCCCACCCCTCGAAATATTCAAGGTCAAATTGGACAGATCTCTGAAAAACTTGGTCTTGTTGAAGATGTCCCTGCCAAATGGAGGGAGGTGGACCAATGACGTTTCAAAGTTTGTTCAAACCCAAAGCATTCTATGATTCTATCAAAATGGTCCACGTGGCAGAGGACATGAATAACCCAGTATTTTGTAAACCTGTGATTTGTATTTCCCTTTGTCTTTAGAGGCAAGAGGGCTGGGGCAGATTGTGCTAGGACAGGAACAAGCAGACTGACCAGCCTGCTGGAATGCCAAGCCCACTTCTTCAGAAAATTAAAAGATGATCATTTGAGATACAGACTAGGCATAACTGAATGTGAAAGAAGTGATTTAATTGCATTCTGGGCTACATTATGAAAAGCTGCAGAGCAAAGACACGCTTTGCACTCAGTGCTGGTGATATTGCAGATGGAGTACTGAGCCCAATTCTGAAAACCTGAGTTCTGTATGGTTCTGGGGCCTGTAAGGTGAGGCTGAGGGTGCTGGACATAGTCTGCAAAGGCAGAGGATAAGGGGGATCTAACAGCAGACCACCACAACTTCACAGAGAAAAATAACACTGCTCCCAACACCTCTCAGCAGTGGCAGAACAGGGTGCAACAGCTACAAATTAAGAGAAAAACTCTTGATTGTGTGGTACTGCTGCAGCAGAACAGGGTACCCAGAGGGTCTGTATAAGCTTCACCCCTGGCAGTTTCCAAGGCCCAGACCAAACCACCTATGACATGATCTATCAGTCAAAAGTCTGCCTGGCAGGCTGGATTAGAGAACTTCCAGGCATGGAGCAAGAAAGAAGGCAGACTCTATGACCTCTACAGATCCCTTCCAACCAGGATTCCTGTCACTGATATTTATAGGAAAACCATGTGGGGCTTCCAGTGTATTCTCTCTGCACAAGTGACCAGCCAAGCACACTAGTGTTAGATAATTAAAAAAATTAGGCTACCTACCCCATTTTATCATATACTAGATAAAATCAGAGCATAAATGATGAAGGTAAACTACTGAAGTCACAGATTTAGACCTGGCCTTCATTATGGGAATGATTCTTTAAATATCTCATTACCCAGCTGCCTGTTACGTGGTGTTGAAGTGCATTATTATCTTTTGAACTCGTCCTACTATGAGTTACACCCCTCTAACTTCATCCAAACTCCACTATGAGGGGAAGGAGAGTAGACAATCAATTCTTGGTGGTTTAAATCTCAAAAATAATTCTGGTACTCTATTCTTGAGCAGGGAAATGTACCCTAACATCTAAATGATGATGGGCAGCATGGATTTAGATGCATATCGAATTTTCAAGCCAACTCTTCAGCATGTTTCTAAGAATCTACATTTTATTTATATAAATGGAACAATGAACACTCTTTTAAGGCAGCTAACCACATTAGTTAGTAAAATAAGTACTGAAAAGTTACAGTGCTGCAAAACCTTGGCTTGGCAAAATCCCCATCATATAAAAAAGTGATCCCGTGCTAAGCTATTCCAGAACCCACACAGGTAGCAGCAAAACATGTTTTCTTTATATTTATACAGTATCTGAAATCACTTGTGAATTGATTTCAGAATTTCCAGTGAATAGAAGAAAGATTTTAAGGTTCTTTCTTCTAGGGTAGTGTCACAAAAGGGGGAAAGGAAAAGAGATTTTTTTTTCCCAGTCTATGAATTTTATAAGCCAGTCTGATTAAAACATAAAAAATGCCAATTTATCCACTAGCATTATGGTGGATAAGCATAACAACAGGAAAGGGAAGGAGTAGAAGATAAAAAAGTAAGAAGTAGGACTATTTATTATTTTTTTACTGAGACAAACTTAGCATTTAGTCTCTTAAAAAAACCTCAAACCTTCTGTCATGACTCAGCTCCTCCTTCTCAACATAATTATGTTTGCTTACTACCATCTTTCCCGTTGTCCCTCATTTGGGGCTGGAGGAGGAAAACACACAAGCTAAAATAAGGTGAAGAGTGCAGCCTACTTGTCTTTTCTTTCCAAACCTTCAGTACATTGGATTCAGTGCATTCCCCAAACCTTTCTACCCCTGCACCAATTGTGTGGATTTAGCATCAAACAAACTTCCATGCTCTCTCTTAAACCCAGAAGCTGGATTAACAAACCAAAAACATTCTGCTGCTTACAAAATGTGGATAACCCTCACCAAAAAAAACCTTACATCTCGTATTAAAACTGGCCTCACTGAGTGTCTGAGGCTACTTTTAGAGAGATGAGAAGCTCCCCAACAGAAGTTGTAGGTTCCAGACATTCATGTCCAGACACTTTAACCCGTGACTTGGCTCCTGCAGGGCTTTCATGCTGTGGTAACTGCAGGGGTGACCTTTACTCACTCTCAGGTATACAGGAACTAGAGGACAAATTAAGCAACAACCAGCTGAACTATTTTGTTCCAAAGCCTTCCCCACTCCACATTCAACCGATGCAGAGTTATAAAGCTTTAGGAAAATAAAAGAGTAGCAGAAGTAATGGTAAGAAGGATGAGGGAAAAAAAGCCCCAGCAACTGACCATTGCATCCTCACATACCCTTCTTCATCTAATCCACAAAATGTAGGATCTCTCCCCCTCCTAAACTACCACAGATGAAAGCAAAGCCTCCAATATCAAGTTAGGAATTTGAGGTCTTAACGCCCTCCCCACACACTCTGGTTTAAGAACTCAGAGCCTCAGTTATTTCTGTGATTACAGCTGGTATCAGCAGACCCCAAACATTTGTGCCATACCTGCAAACAGCACTGCACTGCAAAACTGATTCAGGAGGTTACAAAGGTAAGTAGAAGATAACTCACAACCTATTAAATGTTGTGACAGGAACATCCTGACTACACAAGTGATAGACTTTGCATTGCTAATTGCAGTTATGAGAGATCTCTATACAGATTATTGCTGATAAGCTTGTCTATAAAATACCACCAGTTTAACGTTATTCCTGAATATTGAATGCTATTCCAGCCAACTAAGCTATCCCACCTTGCTTTACAATAATTACTTAATCATTAAAATATATTTTTATCTCTTCCAAAGTCTAGAGTCTGCCTAAGGAACTTTCCCTTTGCTCTCCCTTCTTAAAGCAGAGATGTGGGGACAAGAAACAGGATTGGAAACGGAGCAGAAAGTCTCAGCAAGGCAGCTGTGCACTTGAAGAACACCAGCAGCGCGGTGGTTCAGAGACCAAAGCAATTCCAAGGGCATTCCTTCCTCAAGGAATGACCTTGACACAGGTACCCTGTAAAACTTTTTCCATTTCATTGACCTAATGGTGCTTGCACTGATAGATGATTTTATTTCAGAAATTTAAAGCCTCTGCCCAACTCCACATGAAAAGTCTGGACATCAAAGTTCTTGTGAGAACAGCCCATCCATGTCAGCTCATCAATCTCAATGCTTTGAGAGTTCCCATGCAAACTAGAGCTTGCTGTCATGTTGTCAGTCCTGCAAATCCCCATTTTAAATAGAAAGAGTGGAAAATAAGGATAAAATCTACAGATTTCGGTTTTTTTAGGGTATAGCTGAAATTAGCTAAGTCTCAGAGCATGCAAGCATCCTTTCTATAGCAAAATACTAAAAGTGAAGGTTTGCATAACAAGGCATTGAGTCTAGAAAAACACAGAGATATTTTCATGCCTAGAAAGGAAAGCAAGGTCTCTGTGCAGGTTTATATATCTATATGTACACACAGAAAAGCAGAGCACTGCAGCTCACCTCTGTAACCTCAGTGCAGAACTCGAAGGACTCCCTGACAATCTAGAGAGTCTGAACAAACAGCTGGATTTCCGACAGCAAGCAGGAGCCAATAAAGACATTGCACAAGCACTTTCCCTTGAGCTAACACAGAACCGCACCAAAACCTTTCAGGAGCGAAGGCGCTGCCAGCCCCCGCGTCCCGAGGGCGATGTCGCAGCCTGGGCGCTGGGAAAGGGCTCGATCGGCCCTTGGAGCGGGAGCCCAGCGCGGGGAGCTCGCTGCTCCCGCGGGGGCACAGCGCGCCCTCCCCGCAGGGCCTGGGGCAGGAGAGGCTGAGCCGCCGCCAGGCCGGCACCGACCCCGCGTCCCCGCCCGAAGGTCACCGCGGCGCGGCTCCGCGGGGCGCCGCCGGGCCCGGCCGCTCCGGTGCCACCGCCAGGTCACCCCTGCCCCTCACTGCCCGGCCCTCCCGGGAGCGGCGCGGCCCGGCGGGGGAGGCGACGCCATTTCGGGGTCGCCTCCTCAGCCCTGCCCCGAGCCGAAGGAGCCCGAGGGGAGCGGTAGCGCCGCGGGCCCGGTACCGACCATGTCTGCGGGAGCTGCGGGTCCGCTCGCTGCTCGGGGTCACCTCTGCGGCGCGACTGCGGCCGTGGCAGCGCTGCGCCGAGCTGCCGTGAGGGGGCGGGGCGCTCGGCCGCGCGCGGCCGCCTGGGGCTTGTAGTCGTGGTCGCCGCCAGCTAGCGCTGCTCCCCTGCCGGAGAGAACTACAATTCCCATCGTGCCTGGGGGGCGGCGCGCCGCGCCCCCGCACGCCATTGGCGGTTGCTTCTCCCCACCTCGCCCCATTCATTGAAGAGCCGCGCGGCCGCGAGGGGTGGGGGCTGCGGCAGGCGCGGGCTTCTCGGGCGGCGCACGCGCGCTCGGCGGGGAGAGGGCGGTGGCGGCGCATGCGCGGGGGGCGGCGCGCGCGGTTGCTGAGGTGACGCGCGGGACAGGCCCCGGTGCCGGCGGCGCGCCCGCCCCGCCGCCTCGGAGCGCTCGGTGGGTGCGAGAGCGAGTGCGCGGCCGGCCCTGCCCTGCCCTGCCCGGCCCGAAACCCCCCCGGGGATCCCGGAGCCGCGAGCCCGGGGCGGGCAGAGCGTTCCCCTCGCGTTCCCCGCGCGTTCCCTCCCGCCGCCTCCTCTGGGGAGCCGCGGGCGCGCTCCCGCGCCTCATGCGGCCCCGCGCCTCATGCGGCCCCGCCATCCCGCTGCTTGGTCCTTTCCTTTTGGTTTTCAGGGAAAGCTGGGAGCTTACCTGTGCTGTTCCGCTGGTAGAGCTGCGTAGCTAAGCTAGCGATCGTTTGTACAAAAATAAAGCTGCTCCTTGACTTGTATTTCGAATTGTTGAGTGGAGTAAATTCCTTTGGTCTGGCTGTGACGGAGGCTGGTACCGGCATAAATCAGAGCAGAGCTTCATCAGCTCTGCTTAGGATGCAAAGGGTGGGCTTGGACCGCACGGTTGATTTTTCTTTTCCCGCAGGTCCTGACAGGTCCCTGTTAATTTTCTGCAGGTCTCCCTTGTCCCAGTGCTTTTCTGCAGGATTAGTTTGAAATCTTACTCTAATCCTTATAGTAGGTATTAAAAAAACCCAAAAAAACAATCTAAGGAACATGTGTACTGAGGCAATTTGAAATCTGACTTTAGTCCTTATAGATATGAACAAGATCTATTAAAATTGTGTTTTAGAAAATTAATAGAGGGTTGAAGTTTTTTTGTTTTGGTTTGGTTTTTTTTTTTTTTGTTTTTTTTGTTTTTTTTTTTTTTTTTTTTTTTTTTTTTTTTTTTTTTTTTTTTTTTTATTTTATTTTTATTCCTGGTGCTGATGTTCCAAACATAATTTTTTAAAAAATCAATGTAAGGAGGAGCATGTATACTGAAGCAATTTGAAGTCTTACTCTAGTCCTTATATTAAAGCAGAGCACAGGTCTGGCTTGCTGGGAAGCAGAGGGAATCTTGGCAAGGAGGAGGGAACTTGTTGAACACAGAATTTCTCAGTGTGGCCTAAGATGCTTTACCCTGGTGACTCAACCTTTTCTGCACCCAGACTTAATTAACACTATTTAAGACGGTATAAGATTTAAATATACACAAAATCTGATGTGGACCCACATAAGGTGATTTCCACTGACCATAATTGGTTCAGTTTAATTGATTTCTTATCAATTTTCAGTTAAATCGATGTTAGCAGCCTGTAAACTGATTTGTCTGTGTCAGCGTAACAGATTTTATTGATTTAATGGATTTCAGTTAAGAGCTTAACTTGAAGCTTTCAATTTTTTTTCTGTAGGTAAGACTTTTCCTATTCTTGCTCCTTTTTTGCCCAAGCTTGTGCTCCTGGAATTATTTGTAGTTGGAGATAACAACAGATCTTGTTACTTTGTGTTGAAAGTGATTTGTTTTGATGTCAATGCTTTTGTTTGTCACAAGCATGTTTTTCAGTTTATTTTCAATCCCAGTATAATTAGTCCAAGTTGGACTCAGTTGTTGTCTGTGCTGATTAACTGAAGATATTTTAAAATGTTGCCTTTTATGAATGTGATGTAATTTTTAAAGTCAGCTTAAACTGACTTTATAATTCTAGTATTACAGTTACTACCTTATTATTACAGTGACTACTACAGTTATTACTTTACAGTTCAAACTCAACAGTATTTCCTTCTTAAATTTTGTTTCTACTTGTTAAGCTTTGATGTTTTCCAAGCAAAATTTAAATGTAATTAAAAAAAATATTCCTTAATTCTCCCCAGTGTTTCATTAATATGAGGCTTTCATGTAGCACTGTAAGCCAAAAAGCTGCATAAATAGAAACATGACGTGCAAATGAAGTAATGGAAATTCAGTGTGCATGTGAATTGGGCTCTTGGCTAACTTTCAAATACACTGCAATTTTTGCACTCAAAAGATACTGAATTACGTAGAAATCGGTAATTAAACAACACACTGAAGTATTCAGATGTTTTAATCTCCATTTTCAGGGGATTAAGTATTATTTTTCAAGGCAACTAGTAGTTTTGAAGGGTGCTCTGCCAGAATTGTCTCTTAATTTTTTAAAAAAATATTTTTAAATGAATTATTCTCTCTTAACAGATGGCTGTGTTCTTTAACTGTATTTTGGATGGGATTATCTTTTATTTCATTGCCTTCTATAGAAACTGATTAATATTTTTAGGTAAGTCCTTACACTTACTTTTCAATAATTTGTGAAGTTTTCTTTTTATTATCCTCTCTATGTCTAATACAGGTTTTTTATCTTATGCATTTACTTACAATTGTTGTTACCAAGTCATGTCTCTTGTAGCTAAGTCTGCGTGATATAATTAACATTTTAAATGCACAAGACTATGTAAGAAAAATTAACTATGTAATGGCCAGGTTCAAACTTAGAAATGCTAGAATTGAAATAGTTTTGTAGATCTCTTCTGCATTCTGGTCCAAGGGAATAATAGTAAGAGATTTTTCCAGAAAAAATGTAAAACATTACCAAAAAATACTGAAATAGAATTAAGAGGATCAAAAGTTATTTTGTAAAGTATGTGAGAAATCTATAATAAATTTTAAAAAATATATAGATATGAACAAGAACTATTAAAATTGTGGTTTAGAAAATTAATACAGGGTTGTTTGTTTGTTTGTTTTTTTTTTATTCCTGGTGCTGATGTCCCAAACATAATTTTTCACTGTTCAGTTCTAAACTTCAGTTATGTAGTACTGCATGGACCTTAAATGTCAGGGAGAAACTAATCTATTAATTCCATTTATAATTCAGATTTTGTTTTGCTGATTTTGCTGATTCCATTTATTATCCAGATTTTGTTTTCTCTTTCTTTCTAAAAGAGAATTTTTACCTTGTATGGAAGTGGTTTAATTTTTTTATTGCTTGTTTTTAATTTTGTAACAGCTTAGTTGTTTTTTTAATTAAAATTGGGTAATTATCATTAATTGATTTCTACAGCCTTCAGCATGTTTCTAACAGGTAGCTAGGATGTAATAACACATCCTGTGCTCTTGTGCCTGCTGCCTGTGAAGAGACACAAATGATCTGTAGCTTGCATGTAATATGTATTAGTAATCTTTATGAACTATTTGTGAGTAAAATATGAATAAAAACTGTAGCAGAAAGTTCTTTTTTATTTGTTTTCCCTGAGTAGGTGGGTAGTAGGAGCAGGTGGTGTAGGTTTGGGGGGCACTGAGAGTTCAGGTCTCTGGTGTGGGTGCACGTCAGATCCGAGGCTCTGGTGGCCAGAGGAGTTCAGGGCTCCACCAGTGACCAGAGGGGCTGGTGGCACCGTGGCTTCACACTGGCACCCCCGGAGCTGAGGGACCCCGAGATCTGTGCTCATCACCACTGCTGGAGGGTTTTCTTCTCACGGTTGCTACAAGGTCCGGGATACGGAGAATCCCTGTTTAAAAACAAAGCCAAACAAAACCAACCCACAAACCGAACAACCACGCTGGACACGGCACAAAGGCTTTGGCGTATTGGCTGTAAATTCAGCAGAGTTGATCTCTGAATTATTCCAACTGAACAGAAGGGTTGTGTTCCTGGTGCATGAGAAGCAGTGTTACTGGATTCTTCTACCTTAACACAGATCTGTCTTTCTCTTGGTCGAACAGAGACTTTGTGACAGCAATGTGTGGGTTTTCTACTCACTGATGTCACTGTCTGGAGGAGAGGCAGGTTGGTATTCTAGAGAGGAGATGACCTGTGTAACAATTCCAGTTCTACCAAAGCAAACCTTGTACTCTGAAAGTTAATTCATTGCAACATTAAAAGAAGCCCAGCCTGACCACCAGCACCTGTTCCCCCCACAAGATGCAAACATTAAGCTGATGTCCTTGTGAGTTTTTTAAATGAGGTAAGCATTTAGTCAAGGGAAACAGGTCCTACTGAAAAGAAATGTTTGCTTTTTCTCTCCTAAGACTTTCTTTTGCATTTGTTCATTATAACCTGATAATCAAGTGATACATTTTGAACAAGAAGCTAGCAACCATGATGATGACTTTCCATTTTTTAGGTGCAGTGCAGATGGGTGATTCCATCTGCTTCCTTTATGCATCCTGTCCATGTCACAATGACTGATGAATGCTCTTCCATGCCAAATCTCTTGCACAGTTACAAGATGTTTTCTCATTAGGCTTCTTTCTAGGAATTATGTTTGCTTAAAATATTTCAGCTTGTTTTGCAACATCCATGTGAATTTATGTCAGTATTTTTGCAGAGCCAAATTCTTAATAGCTGCCACTATACAAACTAAATTTTTCTCCTTTTTTTTCCACAAGAATTTAATAGTGTTTCAAAGAAAATATCCCTAGAAATACCAGTGGAAGGAGAATGATGTCTTATGGTGTTGATTTTTTGAAGTTAATTGTATAAAAGTATAATTCTTTGTGTGTGGAAAAGACTGATAAATTTTTATCTTAATGGCCTGCTCAAAGAAAATGTTAGAAAATTTGGAGCCTGTCATGAAGTCATTTAGAGTTGTCCTGTCAGGTTGGGATGGTGTTGAGGAATTAGTTAATTTGAGCTCAGGGTAGTCATGTGCCCAGTATGAATGAGAAGGGAGCAATGGCCATGGAAAAAAAAATTGGGTAATTGACTGCTTATATCATGACACAAACGGTGGAAAGGTTTGGGTGAAGGAGGCTTCTCCATGCAGTAATCAAGCAACAGGAATCATGATTGCAGTTTGTGTTTTTCTAGTTTCCTTTTAGAATGATGCAGCTATGGCTTTCTGCTCAACTTACATTCTACCCTTACCTGTAAAGAATAGCCATGGTAAAGCACTACCACAGATATGGTGAAAAAATTGGACTTTAATTGGATAAAAGCCTTTTGAATGTTTATTGGAAAGGTGTTACTCTTATCTATATAATAAAATGTGCTTTTGTTTCATGGCCTGTAATCCCATTTATTTACAATAATGGGCCAGATACTGGTTTTGAAGTTGCTTACTGTCTGATTTGGGAGAATATAAAGTATTGCTCTGAAATGGCCTTTTTCTGTTCTACTTGCCTGACATAGAGGGTCTGGCCTCAGTGTGTGTTAGGCAAGGGAGCTAGAAATACAGCACAGTTAAATTATGGGTTTGTATCTCCAGGTGGTGCGTGAATTCGTGGTTGAAGACTGAAGAAATTAATTTTGCTAAAGCAAGAAACAACAGGACATTAAGCTACTATGCCAGCTTTAGATGTACGCTTCAAAAATTTTCTGCTGCTCAGCATTATTCAGTAATCTTTAACTCAAATTGCAGGAAATATTTGAAATTCCATTCTAACAATATCCAACAGAGAATATTAAAGAAGCATTACATTTCAAATGCCTGAGGGAAAATGTTCTCTTGGAACACCATGGGCATTTGGATCTCACTAGTATATGCAGTATTATAGTCTAGTATTATACTTGGTCTAAAATGAAAGCCCAATTTTAATTCTATCTCCAAAAACTTGGCATACTGCAGTGAAAAATAATTTATTTGAATGTTGTTTTTTTAATACACTGCAACTAACTTTAAAGCTTCCTCATATAATACTCCCACTATGGCTTTTTGTAATCTGACCCTTTCATTAAGACTTCAAATATATTCCCAAAGATTTATCTCAGTGCTTTCATTGCTAATTTGCAAGTTAAAAGATTCCAAAGTTACCTAAGAAGTTCTTCTCATTCTATGCAATTTTTCTCTTAATAAGACAAAACTTTTGAGTATCTTTGTAAAAATATAAAACATCAAACAGAGGAACTAATGCATTCTTAAGGAAGGTAATATGCAAACTCAAAATAGGGTTTAATAATATATACACACAGTTCTGGGCTAGGTAATTTGGCGAACCCATTAATGAACTTCGGTAAAAAAAGTGCTGATTAAACCTTTGGGGTTTTATAACCTATATATGCTGTATTAAATAGGAAAGCTATTTTGGAAGTGAATCCCCAGCTTACAAGATATAAGAATAAAAGTGTATCTAAAAGGTTTATAATATCACTAGCTTGAACATATTTCTTACCATCTAAGTATTTGTGTTGCCAGAGCAAGGACAGCTGCCATGTTTCTGGTGGAAAAATAAGATCTATGGTCTTTAGAGAAATAGAATAGGGCTCTTCTCCATCTGCTGCTCACTTTTCTGCTGTTTGCACTTGACTGTCACAGATTCATGTCCAGGAGAATGCCAGTACTGTGATATTTCTACCTTGGAGTTTCACAAGAGGCAGTTTTTTAGCAGTGATGGGTCACTTGCCTTGTAATTGTGACTCCCTGACAAACTAGATTGGAGGGAAATGTGATATAAGTACTTGAAACCTGCAGAGAGAATTCAGAATTCAGCATACTGCAGATGGGTAGTGTAGCCGTGTGGGACATAAATTAATGAAGTGTCATTAACAGTATCGTTAGTTTAACTGCAATGCCAGGCTCTGGCCCTGCTAAATGAGTGTCAGTGATTCCTGTAATGAGAGCTGGCAATCCTCTGCAGTGCTGGTGGACATCAGCTTGCCTGCTGAGGGCCACTGGTGGGCTCTGAGTTGCCACATCCCTTTTCATGAGAGCTGAGACCTACTGAACGTTGATAAGGTGTCTTTTTATCTATTGTAGTTGGTCCCAGGCAGTTGTACCCAAACTTCTGAGTGAGTAGTGTGATCCATTATCTTGTATTGGGTAAAATCTGAGAGATGATTATCTATTTGAATATGTCTCTGAGAAGACAGGAGTATCCACTGCAGTGTAGTAACACCATCTGGTAGCATAATTTTTAGGCAGAAATGACTAAACTTTTAAAAACTGCGCCTGTAAAGGACAGTCTGCATTTTTGGAAGACACTTAGGTGGTTTTGTAAATGTTGAGCTTGTCTTGTTTGAGAAATGGAAGGCTTGTAAAATGCGTTAGAAATATGCATTGGAAGAATAGGTGTGTATGGACTTCAAAATCTTGGTATTACTGACATTATTTCCAATTTTATAATTAATTTAAAAATTTATTTCTTTCTTAATGATATATTGACTGCTCCTTAAATAGAAGTATAAAGAAAAGCAAGGACAAATATAAAGCTTAATGTACAAAGCTGTTTCCACTCTTTTGTACATGAGCTGTGTATTTAAGTGCATGTTTCCCAATCCACTGTTTTGCCAATTTTTGTGCCAATAACTTGACCAGATGCAGTGAGTTGCAATGAGTTGTCTGCTGCTTTTGTCACAGAATCACAGAGTGGTTTGGACTGGAAGGGACCTTTGAAGTCCAATGCACTGTGGATACCTTCCACTAGACCTAGTCCAACCTGCCAGGGTTGGGACATCCACAGCTTTTCTGGGCAACCTATTCCAGTGTCTCAGCCCCTCAGAGTAAGGAATTCTTTCCTTATATCTAATCCAAATCTACTCTCTTTTGTATAAGAACAGTTGCCCTTGGTCTTGTCACTGCAGACCTCATGTAGAAAGTCCCTCTCCCCCTCTGATAAGCCACCCTTTAAGTATTGATAGGCTATCATCAGGTCTCCCCAGAGCCTTCTCTTCTCCAGGCTAAAACCCCCAAGTCTCCCAACCTTTTTAAAAAGGGGAGCTGTTCCTTTCCTCCAATCCTTTTTTGTGGCTCTTTTTCTAGACCTGTCCCTAACAGGTTCATATCATTCTTTGCTGGGGGCTTCAGAGCTGCATGCAGCACTGCAGGTGGAGTCTCAGCAGGGCAGAGCAGAGTCCTCCCCCTCGACCTGCTGGCCATCTTTCTTTTCACACAGCCCAGGATGCAGCTGGCTATTTTTTTTTTTTTTAACATATTGGAAGATTTCCTCTGTAAATGTAATTAAGTTGAAATTGAGACAAAAGTCATAGTGATGTAATGACAGTGAATGAGGTGCAGCTTGTGACACAAGTTACATGAAAGCCCAGAATGTTCCTGGAACACTTCTGGCAAAGTCCCCTACTCTTAGGAGTGCTGTTAACTTTGTTACTCTTCAACTTGTGGCAGAAGTCTCTTCCTGTGGAATTCAGTCTAAGAAACAAGTTTTCCAGTACAAGTTAACACAGTTCCATTCTTAAAATACAAAATCAGGACATCTATGAAACAGCTATGGTGGGAGTTTGGGACTGTTGCAGAATAACTTGATTAATTGACTTTTCATCAAAGAGTAAATTAAATATTTATAATGTATAGAGATCTTGCCGGAGCAGCTTCTTTGGTATCTGTCAGTGATGATATTTAACTTTATCAACTTTTTCCCCTTGGAGGTTTTCTGATTTGTTTTCTGGGTAGAATTTTTTTTTGTATGTGGTATTGGGAAACCCCTTAAGTGTCTTTTTCTGTCTGTCTCCTTTTTAATCTGTAATATCCCTATTTAGTAAATGACTTAATGAATTAACTTCACTCTGTCATGCTTGTTTTCTGAATCTGATTACCAAAGCTGCAATGCATTCAGCTTCAGTGTGTGGCTGAACTCCAGTGCAATGACATACAATGTGCAGGTAGTTAAATATTCCTTAAGAAGCAGCCTGTAAAATATGCCACCCATAATACCAGTGAATAAATGCCAACTTCAGCATGAGTGTTCTTTTAAAATGTGCACCTTGCTGAGGTTATTAGTCACTCTGAATTCAAGGACATGTGAGTGCAGACTTTGCATAAAGCTCCAGGAGTGGCCTACCTGTGAAGTGCTGCTGCTTGATTTTCAGAAGATGGCATGCTGTGAATTTTAAAACTCCCTCATTGTGGATGAACTGCAGCAAATGCTAGTTTGTAATTGAGGCCATGGTAAGTTAGTTATTCTACATGTATTTCTAACAGTGAAGTTTCAAAAATCTCTTTGCTGAGATCAAAGAAATGTTGTCATCATGAAATGAAACACTGCAGTATTTGCTGAATAGGGCAAGGAAACAAGAAGGAAAATTCTGCATCTTTTCTAACATATATATAATTATCTGTTTCATGGATTAATGTGAAGATTATGCTGTTGGCCTTCTGTTTAAAAGTAGAGGAATAATGAAAATTGTGAAAATATTTCTGCTTCCCTTCACATGAACATGGATGAAAAGGAAGCATCACACAGAATTGTAGCAGCAGCTGTGACTTTAATTTGAGCAAACCCACCTCAGACGAAGATTTTGGGAAGAGAAATCCACAGATAGAAGTGAGACAGACCTTAAAATTATATCAGTCCTAAAAATATTTATGTAAAATAAATGCTTGAGTAAAATACAGAAATTACTTCCCCCAGCTGCAGCCATTTAGTGGTTTTGTTTTCCTCTGCCGCTTGTGTGGCTAAGTTAATTAAATTGTATATTTTACATCCATGAAAAGGGAAGGAGTCGAATGTTGCAGCTAGCTAGAATGGTCAGTCCCAGCTCTCCTTGGAGAGAAGGTATCTCCACACTGCCCTGAATGAATGCATTTTTAACCAGTGTTTATTGTAGGTGAGAGATCACGGATGAAGCTGTGGTGGGGTGACCCTGGCTGGACATCAGGTGCTCACCAAAGCCCATCTCATTCGCCTGCTCAGTGGGACAGAGGGGAGAGAGAGAGAAAATACAGCAAAAAGGTCAAGGTAAGGACAGGGAGAGCCAGTTACTGTCATGGGCAAAACAGACTCCACTCAGGGGAATCAGTTTAATTTATTATCAATCAACTCAGAGTAGGATAATGAGGAAATACCTGTGTTATTCCTGAGGCAATAGCTAAGGAGCCCATCACTGATTGGCTCAGCCTTGTCCAGCAGAAAGTGCCTCCTGGACCTGTCTGGCATTGGTTCTGCTGGATAGGAAAACTTCCAGCAGTTTCCTCAGCGTCCATCCCTGAAAGCTCCTGCTACGAAAACCTTGCCATGCAAACCCAAAACAGAAGTGTTTAAAATTTAAAAAAAAAGTCAGAAATATGATCTTTGTGCTGGATATTGTAGTGCAAAATCTGTTAATTATAAAAGATTCTTTGGAATACATGGGATTATAGGATTGCAAAAGCTGACCTATAATATAGTCACAGAAATAATGGTAATGGGCAGCTGCTATGATATTTTTTTAAATTTTCTCATTCTTCTAATTTTTTTTTTGAAACCTCATGAAAGCAGGTTATTTGCCAGTGATTGGCTGATGCTGTAAAGACATCCTTGTGTCTGTCTCCAGAGTAATTGTCAAGTTCTAGGTTGTGTGCTCAGTACCACTGTTTCCATTACACTGCCATTTTGTAAACGGTGCAAATTGGAGCCACATGAGGAATGGGCTGGTAGAAAGATGGGGTCAAGCTGTGAACTGATTAATAATTAAAATATCTGAACATGCCACTTGAAATTTTTGGTGTTGTCTGATTCCTCATTATTTCAGTTTTTAAATTTTATTATATCTCAAGGCAGGCAAATTTCTGTGAGATCTCATATTTTTAAGGAAAGGAATAGAGAGAACGTGCACCATTTCAATGGCTGTTCATAATTTGGGGCTGCCAAACCAATGCTATTCATGCTGACATTCTGTCTTATCAGGAAATTAACTAATATGTATTGAGGTAATTAAAGACCATTGCTTGTAATTGCAGAAAATTATTATAATCATTTTGTTTCCCAGATAACAAAGTAGATTTATAATTTCTGTGACCACATCCAGAGTTTTACTACCAGAACTGACAGGGAAACCATAAATAGTTGTTATTCCATTATGCTAAATGTCAGGGGTATAAATTTAACTCTGTTTTATTTAAAAATCCATGAGGACAGGCTGTGATCCTTATGTTAAATGGATCTGCAGCAGTTAAGCCTAAACCCATTCTTAGTTTTCATAAACTTCTTCATATTTTGTCACACCTGTTGGACACAAATCATATACACAGCTTTAAAGGCCATGAACCCTTTTTGAAGGTTTTAAAAGAAGACTTTAATGTTGAGGTGAAAGAAAAGCAAGTTTCAAAATGCTTCCACTTTTCAATGATTTCATCAGGTAACTTCAAGCCTATTAACAAATTTGGTCACTTGTATGCTATTCCCTCATGTTCTGTGACATTTACAGAATTCCTATAGTGACATTTTCTCCTCCAAAACTAGGAAGGCCTTTGCTGGCAGAAGCTGTTTTAATAGATATTTTAAAAACAAAACAAAATACATTTTTCTTTCAACAGCCTGGGTGTGATGCAGTCAAGAAATGCATTTAATTGTCAGTAACCTGGGAAGTTCTAACAAAAAATGCAGCTTGGGCTATACCAAGAGTTTCTATTCAATTGGAATTCCTTTTTCTTTATTAATGATTGTGGCTGAAAAGCTTCATGAGGATGTACAGAGTAGTCATTCATACAGAAGACATTCATATCTATATTTGTTGATCCTTGATGATATATTTAAATTTTTTTTTTAAATGGGGGTTTATCAGTTTAGAGGACATACAGACATAGTGAAGTGGTATGCTGTGTTGAGAATTAATGCAGATTATTCTGATGCCATTCACACTAATTGTACCATTGCCAGGTTTTGTCAGTGTAAATTTTGGTTATGTACATAATACTGCCTATTTTAAAGACATTTCACTCATTACTTTAAAAACCTAAATTTTTTAAGTGATGTAAAAATATCTGGGTTTTCTAAGTATAATTGCAGGGGTTTTATTTAAAGCATTTTAATCATCTCCAGTTTTGCCTGTTAGCAAGGTCCTTTTTATCCTAAGAAATGAAAAGTGAAAGACAAGCAAATGGTTTTAGATTATATGGATAATTAAGTTAATGGTTGTGAAACAGAACCTGAGGAATCAGAAACATGGTAGAGGAGCATCAAAATGGTTTTCTAAGTGCTGAAGGGTTTGGATAGGACATGCAGCAGAGTGACTGAGGGAATCACAGCCTCAGGGGTTTATCTCTGTCTTAAGCCAAAGCTGAAAGTACAGCGGGGAGAGAGAGCCCTGTGTGTGCAGCCCTCTGATCTCAAAGGTGGTGCAGGTCACCAGCCTAAGAAAGGACAAGGATTGGAGTATTGAGTACATTCAATTCCCCAGCTTCTGTCCCTGGTGAGGAGGCTGCTTCTCTGTCCTCATCTCCCAGGTTTCCTGCTGGGCTTTTGATGCTCTTTTTGCAGGGGTTTAGCAGAAGTTGCCAGTGCTTGAGTTGGAGTCTTGGCAATAAGCCACAGGACAGCCAGAGTGCTGTCACTCAGACAGCTCCTCCTTCTTTTGAAGTTATGAAAGCAGATTTAGGGTCCCCTTGAAAAAGGCACCTGAACGCGGTAGATGCTCTGACAGAAGTTCCTTGGTAGAGGAAAACAAAGCCAAGAGCCCTGGGAATGTGGTGCATTCACATCACCATGCACTAGAGGGCCCAGCCTGCATAGAACCATTTCCCAAGGAGGAAAATGGGAATAGACTGAAGGAACTTCTGAGGAATTACAGTGATATTGGGAGGAGAAAGAGCTGTCTGAAGCCAACAGGGCTCAAAACAGGACTATATGTGGAGAAAGGTGATAGAGTGACAAACGCATTCAACCTGAAAATGTAATCAGACAAGCATGTTCCCCTGCTGAAGAAGTGATTTAGTAACTTTGAACTCAAAATCATGTGATTTTTCTTCTTCCTCCTGGCTAGATTAAAAAGGGGAGTGATATTTTTAATATTATATTGTGCTTAACAAACCATTGCATGCTGTGTCAAGTTCATTTTCCCTATCTGCTCTGGCTAAAACCCATTGCTATCTGTAGTCTAGCCTGAAGCTGACAAGAGATTTGAATCATTGTAATTAGGCACTCATCATGCTGCAAAAAGATACAACTATCTTGATGAATCAGTATGAAAAAAAAAAGCTGTGTGTTATTTTTTTTTCTTTAACTGCAGTTGGTGCCTGGGAATGTGAGAGCAGGAATGAGCTCAGCAAGAACTGAGGCAGCTTTCTCAGCATGACGACTGTTGTCCTGTTCTCTGTGCAGAAAAAATTCAGTGGCTTTTGCCCCTCCAAGTCCTGGTGACACCTTCAAGTGTTCTTGGACCTCTCCCAGGTTTTACTTGACCAACATTTTCATGTGTGCCACTTCTTTCTGATTCTGAGAAATACACAGAAAGAATTCACTTTCTGCACTTAAGCAAGTGCTATGAAATGAGTTATTGTTTGCCTTTTAGGAGTGTTGCTCCAGGGCACACTTTTGCTGTAAAGTGTAAGTGATGAAAAAGTGGATCTGCCCAGGTTTGTGGTTGGATATGGCAGAAATGGGGTATAAGGAGCTTTATCCCTCTGGGGAAAGGCATATCCATGCATACCAAAAAGTAGGTTTTGTGACACTTATTACAGCTGCTTTGGGTTAATAATCAAATTTTGTTCTATTTTTTGCCTGCGTTTTAGAAAAGGTGCAGAAAAAAAATCCTGAAATACATATGGCTTTCATCAGGTAGAGATGCATTGCTATTTTCACCTTTTCTTTTTGGGGACAATGAGTTACCCTTCATTCTTTTTATCTGAAGATACTTTATCTTATCACTCATCCATGCATCTTTCCTCAGAGCCTGGATAACATTCCTTTTTATTATTAAGATGTATTGTTCGAAAATGAATTAGAGAATGGCATTTATTGCCCAGTAGCATGCCTCATGAACAGTGGAGTTTTGTCATAATCACAAAGTGTCTAAATTCAGGGTTCTAATGCCAATTTCTAAGTGCTCTAGTTTTCAGAAGTGAAATGTGACTATGGATTTACATACTTATTCCAGGAGAGGCAGCTGAAATGGGATAACATACTTTGGGAGGAGCAGGGAGCAGGCAGAATGTTGCTCACCCTACATGACTACCCTGTAATAGATCTTTCAGAGCTTTGAAGAGTGGGTGTTTTTAATGACTATGTTGTATCATTTAATGGATAATTTTTTAAAGTTACACACTTTTGCAAGTCGGTGTTAAAGCTGAGCAGGTTTGGAATGTGCCAAAAATAGATTTCAAGCTGGGTTTTGTAAAAATTTACTGTTCTGGGGTGAGCAGATACTAATTCTGTTGGTCATGAAAACTGTGTATTGAGATTATGGTTTAAATCTGTAAATATGAAGTGCTAAAATATTACATACATATATGTGTATATATATATACACATACACACATACATGTAGATATATACTAGAATTAATTTGGCTTTGCACACTTAGGTATTTAACAAGAAATATACCTGGAGAGTTTTACTTTCTTCAAATGATGAACTAAACACTTAGCTCAAAATAGCAGCCCTGATTTGCAGATAGATAACTGATGCATCTATATCCAGAACTCTGTTATTTCCCTTCTTGTTTTTTTTTTATCATCATGTGACTAATAGAAGTAAAATCTGAATAAGGACACAGCATTTTTTTTGATTACCTGAAGGGACAAGTTCACAGAGTCTCCCTTACAATTCACACACTCACTACTTTCCATCCCACATTCATTTCTGAGGCATGTCAGCTGACTTGATGCATTTGGTGGATAAGGTAGAGATCTAAAATCCTTCAAATGTGAATGTGATATTTTAAAATTCAAGGAAATACAAAGTGGTGTTCTCTTCCCCAGGCTCTCAAGAAAAGACTGCGACCTGAGCTCAAGGATTTTTTGCAATTTGGCCTTTGATATCAGTCATTAACTACACAGGTCCTGATGGCTGAGAAAGCTCCAGAGCAGCTGTGCTGCTTTGTGCTTGGCTGGCACCAGAGCTGCATGCAGCAGCAGAGGAGAGGAAGGAAAAAGGAGCTGAAGGACATGGCTACAAAGAAGTGAATGAGCTGAATGTAATGTAGAAGGAATTTGGAAACTTGAGGAAAAAGTGAGGAACCTAACATGGAGGTTTGGGAATATGAGGTTGGGCTTGTCCATCACCAATGCATAGAAAAGCAGAGAAGTTGCAGCACCCTTCACTGTTTTCCTTTGGGTTACAACCTGTATGTGTTGTGGCATACAAGAGCATTGAAAACAAATTTTTAAGTCGTGCGTAATTCTTGTTGCCATTTTGTTTTCCAAACTCACTTATTCATCATGGGCGATGTTTCCTTTGTTTTCTGCTGACAGAAGAATGCCTCCTTGTTCTTACATGTTGATATATGGCTTGGTTTGAGGGAGAATGCTGGTGTTGCCTTTAGCACAAATGATGTATGCATTTGCATTTCTGGAACACTTTCAGAGTTTCCCATTTGCTTTTATCTCCTTTACAGAATGAGCAACTGTTTTCTGGTTTATCTTTTCTGAAGATCAGCGTAGATTGTTGATTACAGGGTGCAATAAATTAACTTGTCGACTTTTGCCACATTTCATGTTTAGGTTATATATCTGAACAATGTTGAAGATTATAGAAAACTTTAAAAATTAATCCGAGATGTAAACGCTTGAGAACAAAAGGTTTGGTTTTTTTTAAACTGGATTTTATTTCTAAAAGCCTGCTGCATAATATTTCATAGCACTATCTAGAACAAGCTTTTTAATTTTAATTGCTAAAGGGGTTTTAGAGTGATTTATTAGACACCTGACTGCAAAACTGAAAGTATATCATTGTAATCCCATTGTTGTCTTTATTTGCCCAAACCAGAAAAATAGGGAATTTGAAAATAGTGTTCATTAGAGTAAAATATACAGTTTTTTATCATGTTGTGTTCTTCAGTTTGCTTTTAAAGGAATTTGTTTTCTTACTGTATTTTAAAATAGGCTTTGAAAACTTCACTATAGTCACAATGTAATTCTTTCTCTTTTTTTTTTGGTCTGAAATTAATGCATGGGTAGGAAAAATTTGTAAATTTTACCTTTTCAGTAATCTGATGAATGCTTTATTCACTTGTGGGCAGTGTATTTTGTTTACCAGTTGTGATATATAGAAACAGTTTAGTTGTTGCCTCTCTATTCCATTTTGGCCTTCTAATCAGAACTAACACTTTGAGTGCATCCGTGTTTTGAGCTGGAAATATTATTCAAACTGAGCCTTTTTTTCCACAAGTTGTTTGGAGTGAATTCTTGAATTCCACAAGAAGAGAACTAGGCTAACTACTTTTAGCAGACAAATTTTTGTTTTTAATAAAGAATAAACCATTACCAGTCAAGCCACCCGTTTCCTTTTTTTTTTTTTTTTCCAAATGTCTTGGTCTGAGGTCTCAGAGGAAAATCCATGGAAATGTCTTTCATGGTTTCAAAGGACAATAAAGGGATTAAAAAAAAAGAAAAACAAGCAACAGGCATTTAATTTCTGGTTCCTTTTTTTTCCTGTGTCAGTTTGTTACATGTAGAATTTCAGTTTTATCCTTTCAGATTTGAAGAGATCCCAAAGTAATTTTTCTTCTTGAATTCTGTTAAGCAGTAAAATACCCTGAATTCTACTAAAAATCAAACCAGGCCTTTTAACAACTTTCTGAGAGGAGAGGTAAGGGTTCTTCACCTGGTCTCCCACTGCCTTCCCCCAGACAGGACCTTCCTTTAGCCCTTGGGCAGTTTTTTCCCCATTCCTTTACCATATAAACTTGATTACATGCCTCTGAATGCAGTTTAAGGGATCCCTGGGCAAGGGGCAAGTCAGACCTGGAAAAGGAACAGCGTTCTTGCTCCCTAGAAATGAATTTGGATGTTTACCTCTTTTCTCAAGGTAATATTTGTCTTTTAAAAGCAGAACCTAACTTTTTCTTTTTGTAGTCTTTCCATTTCTTTTGCAATGTTCATTCCTAAATAACTCATAAGTTTCCTTGCCTGTTGAAATTTCAAGAACTTTACTGTGTTTTCTTTGTCAGTGGTGCTTCTTTCCTATAGCTTTTCTTGCTTAGAATTTGTCTTGAATTCAGACACATTTTCCAAGAGCTCAGTTATTGTTTTTTTCCTATGGATAAGATTGACAGCCTGAGGTTCTTTACCATAATAATTGCATGAATTGTCCTGTAACTTGGAGTTTTCTGTGTTTTGGCAGGGCAGATGTGTGTTAGTACCCCTTCCGCCTGTTTTTTGGGTTTGATGTATTAGAAACTATCAAAGACCAGAGTTTATTGTGGTGGTGTTAATGGTGCAAGCTGAGAAATCAGCCTGTCTTGTTTTGTGACTGTGGCTTTCAAGGCTTTTAAGTGTTTGTAAGGGTAATTCTGTGTTGCAAAGAAGAAAAAAACAATTACATTGTAATGAACACTGAGATGTCTCCTCTCTGTTTGCACTGGCCATAAGTTACCAGCAAAATCCCAGCGGTGGCTGCTGTGCAAGAGCACAAGTACATAGGAACAATGTAACGCATTTATGAATTATTTCCTTTTAATCCATACCAAATGTCACAAGTTTCATAAATTTCATCACTTCCCTGAAGTGATGGTGGGTCATTTTTGGGTTTTTTTTTGTTTTTGTTTTTCTTTTTTCAAGTGGCATGTGGTAACTCAGGTTGAGCAAAAACCTGGGCCTGGAGCAGAAAATTGCAAAGTCCCTTACAATATGATAGACTTTTTCTTTCTATTTTTCTACATATAAATTCTAAATACTCTTGTCTGCTTAGTATTACCTTGATAAAAAAATAAGCTGTACAGTTCTTGGGCATCTTTTTATCTTTTTTTCAATGCTCTTTTTTTGTACCTCACTTGCTTTATGCAGCCCCTCTGTCACTCCATTGAGAGAATGAGCATGATTATTTTAACAAAGTTTCTAAAACTGTTAAGTGTAGACTCTACTCTCATTTGGAACATCTTTTTCTGGACATTGTTGATGAAGTACAGTCCTAATTCTTTAATTCTTTGCTATCATGAGCCACCAAGGGACTTTGTTTTCCCAGTGCTGCTGTGTGAGAAGCCTTCCCAAACATAGTGCTGTGCCTCTTCCAACAAAGTGGATTTTTGGGGGGCTTTCCCCATTTTCTATCTGCCTTCAAAATCTTTTCTCCCTCTTTCTATGCATGATTAGTGAGACAAAGGAAGATTTGAGCCTTATGCAGAGGGAGTCAGTTTGATTGGAAGTGAGAAGTGACATTTGCATTTACAGTGTGTGTTTAGTGGCTTGGGGTGACATCCTGGAAGTTTCCCATCTCAGCATCTTTGCTGGCATATGTACTGAGTTTGCTTAAAAAATGGTAATAAAATAAAGCTTCCTTATGCAGGTCTTTTCACTTCAGATAAGTTTTGGTGACATCTATATTTTTGCTCTTGTTTTGGTGACAACAGTGTTAAGATCAATGTCATTAATATCAAGGCTTACTAATATTTTTACTCTTGTTTATGTGACAGCAGTGTTAATATCAAGGCTTACTGGATATTGATTATATTGGAATAAATTTTAAAGTTATCTTTGTGTCAGGAATAATTTCTATTTAAATTGCATAAAAATCAGTCTTTGTTGTAACTTGGAGACAAAAAGATATATTGAGAAATCTTTCCACAGACTTTCTAATGCAGGGCCAGCTATCTCAGTTTATGATAAGATGAAGTGTCATAGATTTATTAATGGGACTGTTAAGAGGAGTATTGTTATGGCAATATTGAATTTAAACTTTTATGTCTTTGTTCTCATTGGGCAAAAATTACTGTAGCAGATTTGAGAATGGGAATTTCAGCCCACGATTTTGTTTTCTATAAATATAAAAGCATGCAGGTGTTTACAGGCAAGCAAATGGCTCTCCATACAAAACGTGGGTTTATGAGAGATATATCAAGAACCCGTAGTATGAACGGGTGCTTTGAGGCTTTAACTACAACCAAGCAAAAATGTGCAGCCTTCCCCTTTTGTCTATAATAGGGTCGACATTGGGAACCATGATCCCTTTGATCTTTACATAAAACAGATGAAAATGCATAAATTGCGTCTAATCAGAGATGAATTAAAGGAAAATAGCCTCCCGGAGGACAAAGCACCCCAGGCACCCATCAGCAGCCTTTCCAAATGACAGACCTGGAGGAGACTTCAAAGCTGCAAGCACAACTGCCAGTGAAATCCACCAAGAATCAAGATGCCATTAAAAAAAAAATAAAAATAAAAATTCACAGTTTACAAGTGCCCAGAACTCTCTCTTTAAGAAGAAGTGGTAGAAACACATGGGACTTGCTTTTTAAGCCACTAAATGTTCTTTTTCTTTTAGGAGACTTGATCAAGGCAATACTCGCTTATTTTAGTCCAAAAATGTGCTCAGACATGACAAACATTGGTAATTTTAGTGTCAGGTAGGGTTTATTCCATTTGAGTGGCATATTGTTTAGAAGCTGAAGTATATGTTTTAGTGGCAGCAGATCAGACCTTTGTTGTAATTGCTTCCTTGGTTGTCATCTTTATTTGTCCCTGTGAACACAAGCATGGTTAACATGCCTCAAATTGCAGAAGAAGGAGGAAATGTAAATATCAGGTTTGGTTTTGGAAGGGAGGGAAGGAAGGTTTGAGGCAATAATTTTATTATGAGCATTTTCTCTCTGTGGAACACAGAATAGCTTTATACCAAGTTAAATCAGAATCCAGATCCTCTTCTAGCTCAGGTAACTCATTTAAATATTATTTAGATATTAATATCAGTAGTGTTGAATATAAGAAATAGGCTTGAATAAGGATTATTAATTGCTGGTTTGTTTCAAGAGAGGTAACCTAAACATAAAATTTTGCATTTTTGTTAGCATTCTGTTTCTGAGAAAATACCAAAACTTAAAGTTTTTAAAGATCGAGACTAACCACAATTTTATGGAGTACAAAATTTTCACTTTTGATAAAGACTGATGTAGTCCCTACAATATAAATATTGTTTTAGGAAGGATTTTACCTGCTACTAGTATTCTTTGCTTATTCATTGTTTACAGCATAACATTTATATCCAAACCCACATAAACTTGAGAATCATTTATGACATAAAAAGAACAAATGACATTTCCAAATACATAACTGACAATGAAATCGCTCAGTAGGCTGAATGATTTGCTGTAGGTGAGATCAGAAAGGTTGCTTGATTAATTTTGTGGGAACTTGCTTTCAGTTGCTTCTGACCTTAATTTCTATAACTGAAGTATGTTTCGTCTACAGCTCTTGATTTTTGAAGAAGTAAAAAGATGATTCTAGTCTGTTTAAGGATGAAGCTAGGCAAAATTGCAGAGGACTTTCTCTTAAGATTTTTAAGGGTTCTCCCTCTTCCTGAAGTCACTGATATCTCTGTTCCTTGGAGCAGACATTTTAAATACGTTTTGAGGAATTGGATTTTCTGTGGCTTGCGAGACCTTCAGCATTTAGCTTTCCAAAGCTTGCATCTTCAGTGAATGCACGTGTCTCACTTCTGGGCCACTGGCCCACCTGCACACGAATGAGCAGGAATTGACTCCTGGCACAGCAGACACAGGTGGGTTTTCTTCACCAACACTGATCCTGACTGATCCTATCAATAGCTGCACTGAAATGGCAGAAGGCTGTAAGGCAGAGCAGCAAGTCTGCCTTGTTCTGTCAGGTGGGATGAGAGCTACAAAGAGAAGAAAGTGAAGTCTGAAAATGAAGAAAAGAAAAATGTCTTGAAGAAAACTTGATGGCCTGTAGCAGTGCAGAGCAAGAGCCTCTCTTATTCTGCACTTTTTCCCAGCATGAAAAAAGAGCTTTTTGCCACAGCTTATACAAAAAACTGTCCCCTTTTCTTATTTTTATCTCTGTCTCTGCCTAACAGCAAAGCCTCTTAATACTGAGTCATACTGCATTGATTGATCAGCATATAAAACCTGAAAATGAAGTCAATTATCCTTTCCTTTCATGAGTTCCTGGAAGATTTTTGCACATAATATGTTTCGGTGCTGTTGTTTGTTTCTCTTATCTTAAACTTTTTATTATTTTGGATCCTTTGAATTAGACAGGGCCTTATGTTGTTGGGACCCCCATCTGTGTCATAGCTTGGCAAAGAGAAATCTCAGTTCACCCTGAGAGAAAGTGGGTGTTGGAACACAGCAATAATGCTTGCCTTCTATGGGCTATCAAGTGGCACAGCTACAAATTGCTACTGCAAGGCAACACAGCAGTTTAACAGACTTACCTGCTTTATAAGAAGGGACACATTTTCTTAAATCTCCTTTCCAAATGCAAAGGAAGTTTTACTGTTTCTTTCATATTTGCTGTGTAAATCTACATGGAAAGGAAGGGATCATGTGTGACCATCTGCATTAAGCAATCAGCGTGATGGATTCATCAAACTCTCAGCAACAACTTCAGGCTCCCCTTAAGGTGGATTGTATGTGTTAATCAGCCAGTGAGTGCCAAATGCTGCTGCTTCTAAACTGGCCTTAGAGGGGCATAAAGTGCCTCGAGGATCTGATGCACAATCTGGGACAATTTACCTTGGGATGGTTGTTGTGGTTCTTGTGCTGCCTCTGCTTTGGGGACAATTTAGTTGCTGGTGTGGCAGGTCCACAGGGTGCAGCTGGCAAATGGAGGAAAACTGAAATTGGTGCAAGTGCACCATTGGCACCAAGCTGTACCTTGCATCAGTGCAGGACTCTGAAATCCCAATTTCACAAGCAGCTTAGCCATTCTGCAATAGGGTGAGAACCCCTTTGTTGCCAAGGAAAAGAGAATGAGGGGTACAAATGATGTTGAGCTATTGCATTTGTGTGGTGATAATCTGCCCTGCTCAAGAACTGCCACACTGAACTAGAGCAATCTTATCCTTTAGCCTTTCCCTCAGTCTTTCAGCATTCATACTCAAAAGCAATGTAGACAGGGAATCAACTATTTAAAGCTTTAAGTACTGCAATTCTTGGCTGTACCAAGAAGTCTGGTTCATGTTCTAGAATTCTGTTCATGTTCTCCCTCCAGAAACAAGGCTATTTTTAAAGGAATTTATGTACAGGATTTCTCTATCTGCACAGAAATCAGGGTTTGTGCAATTGGGATTTTTCTGCTTATAAAGGACCCAAACAAAGTGTTCTCAAAAACTTTTAAACTTCTTCAGATCTAATAAATTTGTGTTGAACAGGATCCATGGCTCTGACGTGCATGCAAATGCAATTGCATTTTGCATGCAGTCAATGGCAGTTCTCTGTTATGATAATTTGATCAAGAGTGTGTATTCAGTTTTTCTGCTGTTCCATATTTACTTTAGGAATTGGGTAGTGGTAGTCTAATGTGAAAGGTCTTCATCCTGGCAGGGATGGGATGTGTAGTGACTGCTATGATTCTGGGTTTCACTGTAGAAGCCCAGTCTTTAACAGCTTTTAGTATACCTGCTTGTCAAAATACCATTCTTCTTTTTCTTCATCATTGTCTCAGTCATCATCATTGACTTGGTTTAGAATTTGTCACCTTTATGGCCTTTCAATCCACAGAGGTGGAGTTATCATGTGGCCTTGCATTAATTAGTGCCTAGATTTGCCTTTTGATTTTCATCTGACACAGTATGCCTCATTTTTCAGGGCTATGACCAAGCAATGCAAGGAATTTAAATTTTCAGATTCCCTACAATCCCATTTTATTCAGGAAGGACAAAGATGTTTGTCAGAGTTTCAGTTTGTCAGATACCTATAACCATTGATAACCATGACCACTGGTAACCATTGCTCTGTCCCCAGCCTTTTCTTCAGAGAGAAGAAAAGACTAGAAAAAGCTGCTGTTTACCTGCCTATAACTCAGTGCAAGGTATCTGGGACATGCTGAGGTGCTGCTGCTGATTTGGCCTCCCAGAGGAGGTTGTTTCCCCTCCTGAGCACAGGGAGAACAGAGAAAAGGCAGAACAGAAGAGCAAAGCCTGCAAGCATGGCTTGGTCTGTGAGGAACATGTCACTGTGAGATGCTTCTCATTGCTCCAGCCTCTCTGCTGCTTATAAAAACATGTTGAATCATCCCAGATTGCAGTCTGGCATATTAATGTAAACTATGACTGGTTGGGGTTACTTTTAATGGGCCAGGCTTGTGTTTGTTCAGCAGCTCTTATGCAACAGCTGTGGTGTTGGAGTGCAGGGGGCTGAAGAGTGGAATGTGCAGGAATGAATGAGTGCAGATGTTTCAGGGCAAACAGCTGGTAGAACACAGACCTGCTGGGTCACACTGTCCCCTCAACTTCTTCTGCAGTGCTGGGGAGCAGGACTGTTCCAGGCACGTTCTGAGTATCCTCTCCTGGTGGAGCTGTTGTGCCCAGCTGACTCCAGCTGAAAAAGCCTTGCCCATATCAGAGGTTCTCATTATATCTCTCCTGAGAATGCAGTTTTAGGAGTCATCTTTTTGGCAGCCCTGCCAGCTGACACAGCTCTCGCTGTGTCCTTGCATCAGTAGCATAATTGCACTGGCAAACTGCTTGTAGGGTTGCTTGGTGTGCTGGTTCATGGAACTGAACTGGTTTTA